CAAAAAAAATTGTTTTATATGCTAAGAGCGGTTACACACGGCGATTTTTAATATAATTAATACAAACGCGCGTTCCTATCGCTCTTAAAATCACTATGTGTAACGGCTCTAACTTTCGTGTGTATTAAATATTTCTATGGTGCTAAATGTCATGTATATAATGCTAGTTAAATACACTGTTGGAGTAGCCGGAAGGAATTGTTTGTTTCAATACTGGAGAACGAATTATAAGACTTGTACTAGCTGTTATGAGTTTTACATAATTTTATTATTGTCAACCAACCAAAATTTGAAATGGCATTCTAAAAATACACTTGACGTTACCGCTAGCCGCCATAATCATAAGATGCAAATACCGACATACGATACCTACCTACTTATACCTTCTCAAAATATGAAATCCTTCTTATATTACTTGGTTATTTTCATACTCCAATAAAGCCTCGAATTCAAATTTCGCTGTCACGTTTATGTTCCCTCGGGGAAATATTTCACGCGGTGCCGGCTGGAAGCGATCCTATTTTGGTTGATAGGATGTCAGTCTAGTATACACTTAAGGTGCACTCTGGCTGTGGCGCTACGAGGCTGGCTGCGACGATTCCATCGAGAATCACACCTTCGTTTCTGTATTTCTCCGCCCGATTAGTTGGCAGACTAGTCTAGGACAATGTAGTGCGTCTAGTCCAGTTGGGTAACTAGTTTAGAACTGCGATCGCGTCTAGACGGGTTTCGGATCCCTATCGGTCGCCTTGTAAAATTATGTGACGTGGGTGGCTACGTACCGCCACTCGCTGTAGGAAATCCGGTAGAATTCGATGAAGATTTCGGGCTTGTTTAATTTATTGGAAATCTGTCCAACCACATTCGCTTCTCGTAAAACTACTTGCAAAATCTTTCACTTAAATAGTTAGTGATGGAAATTTTTAGATAAGATGGCAGCTAAACTGATAAAAGTGCTTTGTTGGCGCGCTCCAACCAATAAAACTTTTGCCACAGACTTCGATTCACTGTGCTTTCGACTAAACTCGCAAAGAAGAATTATATAAGGCTCGTGAATGCAGAAAATCGTCGTCGATATAATTCAGTTAGAATATGAAAGCCAAAGGGCAGGCGGTACAGTTAAAAAACTGGTCAGTCGGGACACGTCCAGCGTGGGGACGACATCGGCGTGAGATGTGCCACGTGCCTTGCTTGCTGATCGCTGCCTTACTTAGTCTAACCCCTACTGAATGGGACGTAGCCTTCACAATTACCCCTTCAATCCTTCCCGCGTGCCAATAAATATTTGCCAATTAGAGGATTTTCATTGTAAACAGGCGTACGAATAATTCTAATGTATGATGATTCCTTTTACAAAAACCAGCGAAGTTCTTGGTAAATGTGTATAATTAACCGAAAATTTTCAAATTTCAACTTCCACTAATATTTTCGTTTTGCTACGATAAACCGCAACATCAACGAAAACTTTTCAGGTTTGCACAAATTCTCCCCGCAGTGTTGTTTGGCGAAATATTTAAAAGTTGCAAGCTCTGAAATATTAACGGTAACGAGATTTCAAGCGTATTCACTACGTAAATAATTCCATTACGTCTGTGTTAGTAAGCAATTGTAAATTATAAAATGAAGTGCATTACATAAAACAATATATTTATTACTCGTAATACACAATAAAGCTGTATTTAGAACCTTTCTTTTAAATGTACTAAATTAATATTAAATTTTAGTGCATCAAAGTATTGTAGAGGTCGTTTAAGATGACCTGTATAGAAAGAATATCAGTTGCGAGAACAATGAAATCTAGATTGCTCGGACAATGCATTTCTTACGAAACTTGTTTGTAATTTATGTGGTGTTTAGCGTATTTTCTCTCAGTGAGAGTCGTGCTAAGTGGCGAAACGCTGGCTACAATGGAACAAAAGTTGGCGGCTACCGGTGCGCCTGCGCTGCAGTATCTGCTGCGGGTCATCGCGCAACCTTTCACCCGGCCCGCGCGCTCTCTGCCGATCTAACGAGGAGAGATAGTTATGGCCACGATTGCACTTGAAGCACTAAAAGATTCGATTACGGTCATTACTGTATCTATTTAGGGCACAGCCAGATGAGGAAACTATGTCATTACTTGCTGATTGGTGGCTAACGACATAACGGTTGTTTACTCTTGTTTATGTGCATTTATGGCGGTATTTATTGGTAAGGGAAAGTCGTACTTATGTGTGTAATTTTAGAAACCAAGTCATAAACAAATTATTAATAAAATAATTGTTGAAGTTTACATTTCATAAATGACAGAGGAAAGGAACCTTTTCGCATCCTGCCTATGACAAAGCGGTTATAAAACAAATAAGATAGGAAATTAAACATGAACGCCCTCTAAATTTCATTAATCTAAAACAGCGTTGACGTAAATTGGGCGGTTAAATAAGATCGGAAACAAAGGGCGCACGTTACGGTGCGTCTATCCGTTAATTATCTGGGCGAGCAAGCCGCGACTTGTGCCATTGTCTTGCGGAACCCGCCGCTTCTGTATAAGCTACAACGAAAACCTGTGAAAATATATTAATTAAAGGAGCTTTTGTACAGTTAAGGACTTGACGGTGTGGAAGGACGGAACGTATATGTGTCCATATTAATGTTGATTCTGTGACTTGCCACGCAAAATTATTTAGCACTTGATCAAAAATATCATCCATCTTCTTACTATCTGTCGTACTTAGGGTTTGTTGTCAGGCTAGGGAAGTACTCTTGACGCTTAACGCCTGTCCATCCTGATACCTTTTCAAGCTCAAAGGGTCATGGTTCATATTATAAACACCTTTTCGATTTAGGTATCACGAGAGCTCTCTGTGCAGAGCGTACATGAAGCAGGAGGAAGTGGCATGTCTAACGCGTGGCGTGGCTTAGTAGCAGTAGAGTTCCTTGTGGAAGAGTTCGTCCAGGAAGCACTTCCAATTTACCTTTTCGTTCCGGTTTTAAAGAGCAAGGATGCTTGTGAAATTACAGGCACATGGGACTTGTCAACTTATGTCTCAGGTTATCGGACACAGTGGCAGTGCCCCTCAGATCTTTGCGAATTAAAACTCTGAGCAGCTGAGCTATGGACAGGCGTGTCGCTTACCACCAGACTCAGGATTTGTTCATCCCGACAGTATCATAAAACAAAATACTGAGTAATAACACTTTGCCGATCTTGAGCGCCGAGTAACGAGTAGGACCACCAACCACATGCCAAAAACCTCAACGTCGAGTTTCGGATACCGGCCCGTTACACCATAGCATACCATAACTATCGTCATTAGAATTAGGTAAATTTGTCAGGGCAAGGTAGTTTCGTTTAAATATATCACGTCGTGAGCTGTCAATCTTGTTGCATGTACATTCTTTTATATAAAGGTTAGTAGAGTATGTTCACTTTCGAAAGCTGAGTGTGATCGTACGTCTTACTGAATAACGATATAGATATGGCATTTAGGTAAGAGAAACGAAATGTTAAAGGTTTCACACGTAGTTACAGCGCACCACATGCTACCTTCAATCGCTTTTAGTATTAAATTTATATTATAGAATTTTGAGAAAAAATATCATATAAAATATTGTCATGTACATACATTTTGGTGTAAACGAAGGGTTTTCACAGGTATTACATGGCTGTTTTAAACATAACATCACAATATAGTGACATGTATTAATACATGCTTGTTGTGTGCAATTGTTTCTTACAATATTTTAGTGACGCTTTTATTGACGTGTAGAGAATCAAACTTTAAGTTCAGCATTAGCATAATCTCGAATTTCACATATTTTGAGTTACAACACTATTGTAATAGCAGTACATAATACTATTAAATGTGTATTCCATAGTCTAAGGTACAACCGGAGAATAACTTTTTTGACGATAACAATATTTGCTATAAAGTATAATATAATTATTTGCATTCTGGTAATTTTTTTATAATCATAAAAGAGTTGTCAAATTTACAGCCTTATTTGTAAAATATTAACAACCTCTCAGGACTATTACTAACATCATAAACAATAACTTTTGTTATATGACTTTGAATAATAATTTTGTTTTCAGATTTTACTTTCATGCAAAAAGAAAAATATTTAAATAGGTCGCTCTAAAAGATGTTAATTTTTGCATCAACCGTGCAGTCAACCGTGACCATGGGTCCTGTAAAGGGGTCAGTTTGTTTGAAAAAACAAATATACGCGATTTAAATCCGGAAAAATAGTTTAATTGCCTAAGGTTGTTAGTATTTTAAAAACAACCCTGTGCAAATGTCACCAGAACTAATTGCACGTCTACGTAAGTTTCATTTATTTCGTACTATTTTTTTGACTTTCATATGTCGTAGCAGCCTAATGGTTTGACTACCACCACTCAAGCAGAGGCCGTGGGTTCGAATCCGGATTCGCACCTCCGAGTTTTGAAATTTAATTTTAAATTTACCACTAGCTTTTCGGTGAAAGAAAGCAGTTTAGTAGCAGTAGAGCTCCTTATGAAAGAGTTCGTCCATTAAAGTACCTACTGCCACCTTGCCTATTACTGCCGCCAAGCAGTAGTGTCAGCATTACTGTGTTCCGGTTTTGAAGGGTAAGGGTGCTGGTGAAATTACAGGCACATTGGACATGTCAACTTATGTCTACGGGCGCAGTGGCAGTGCCCCTCAGATCTTTGCGATTTAAAGCTCTGAGGTCACTGCAATTGTTATGGACAGGCGTGTAGCATACAATCAGGCGCACGACTTGTTCGTCCCGGCAACTGTGGCGGACTACGGCATAAACCCTCGCCTAAGATCTGTACCCAGCAGTGGAAATGTATTGATGATGATTTTGAACTTTCATGTGAAAAAGCACCAGGATTCGTTTTAATGTTTCCGAAATAAACAACTCTCAGTAAATACGTGTAGCAAAATCGATGGTGAAATGACTATGCAAATTTTCCGCTTCTTGAACTTCTATTAACTCCGTATTGTAATAGTTTTCTTAGTCAATGTCAGACTGCCTCGTTAGCCTATAAAACATGAAAATTTCGTGGAGGTTTTACTTGATTTATCCTGTAGTTTCAAAAGTTGTTTTCATTGTGAGTTACAAATTTAACAATTAAGTAATTAGGTTGTTATAAAATAATGCAAAACTTATGAATTATAAAAGAGAGTAAATTGCAGGTTTACTTTCCATGCATATACGGGAATTCTAACTCAAGCAGTGGTAAGATGTAATATGATATTAATTTATTTTTGTGAAATTATTCCTCTTGTTATAATTATCAATACAAAGATCCAAAATAAAGAGAAATGTCTTCTATTTGACAATATTCGAACCTGAGTTTGTTTTGAGTTGTTGGTAAAGTGGTTACCATAAATTGGCAAAACAGATCGAAGGAATTTTTTCTATGGGCATGCATTTGAATGATCTTTTTTAAATTTCCAAAAAAATGTAAACAGTCATCTATTTTCATAATTGATCCTCTTTCTCTGAGACATAAAATAAATTATAACGATCGATATTTTAATCTGTTCTGAGCTACGCAAAAAAAATTTGATTTGTAAATAACTTTAATAGTTTTATTTTGGGCCTTAAAACTAAGACAAATGAGAATTAAAAATAAAATTTAAATACTTTTTTTTAAACTAAGTAAATGTTGAATATATTTTTATAATAATATTATATTAATTACAATATAATTTGACCCGAAACGCAAGCGAATTGGCTTCTGGCATTCGTTGGCCTCTGCCGCGGCACGCTAGCTTCGCTCGCTCGGCTCGTGCTGCTTTTTCATATCTAACTTAACCTAATCTACTGAATGGAGGGCGCAACCAAGCAGAACCAAGATTTATTCCGAGATCAATATCAAAATACTACTACAATATACTGGTAATAAATGTCATCAATCGTTAAATGAAAAGACCAATGATAAAAAAAGAGGATCAACTATTATTTTTGAATGCCAAATATTAATTTGCTCAAACATAATAATAGTGTTACCTTGAATGCAGTTCATTTGTAATTTATCCGTAGATCAACTAATATGGAAGAAACAATTAATATATACGTCAAACATAAAAAAAATATCGTTTATTTTAAAAGTGTACATTCACAATAGAATTATTTCTTTGAGGATCAAATAATATTATGCCTTTTCTTTGTGTTCGATCTTTGTATTAATAATGGTAAAATGTAATAAATTTCTAATTAAAAATTGATACTAGAAGTTTCAATCTTAATTCTACGAATTTTAATAAAACTACATCGTCTCCAAAAAAAAATCATTTTAGAAATTCATAATGATGCCAAGTTAAATGAACAAAATACGTTTAATACTATAGTACAATAATAAAATTCTCATTTATTCGGCCATCATAGATCCAGCAATTAGACCTTTACAAGTTGGTAAGTGGATTATAAAACAATCGACTGTCTGTTCTCTTTATACTATATTTTGTTATCATGATAGTATCGATTTCTCGATTACGTTCTATAGAGGGAATATAATAAATGTCGGCGAGCTAAATAAGGATAGTAGTATAACTGAGTTTCACTGAAAAAATGAAAAAGTGTTTACTATGACATATTTGTATTGTATATATTTGACAGCTTAAAAATTTCACGCTTTTTATGTTTACACGCTAGTCCATAGCAGGTGCAGTGCCACTCAGGGCTTTAAATCACATAGATTTGAGGGCACTGCCACAGCGCCCGTCATCGTGACACATAAGTTGACAAGTCCCATGGACACATTATGGACAGCTTATCATCAGACACACGATTTGTTCGTCCCATTACTTGATGTTAGAAAAAAAGAAGTCTATGAGCCGGATTGAAAGAATTTTTCGTTGTTTATCGAGTTCTTAGGTTTTCGCGATTGTTACACATAGGAAATGAAACTATTTTTCCGGATTTAAATCGCGTATATTTGTTT